TGTTGGAAACTGATTGAGTTATGGGGGCAGATCCCTCATGAATGGATTAATGCTCTCCCTGCGAGGGGGGGGGTTAATGAGTGAGTTCTCGCTCTATTAGTTCCCATGAGAGCTCATTGCTTAAGAAGTCCCTGGCACCTTCTCTCTCTCTCTCTCTTGCTTCCGTTATGTGATACCCTATGTCACCACAGGACTGTATAGAGAGTCCACACCAAGAAGGCCCTCATCAGATGTGCCCTCTGGACCTTGGACTTCCCAGCCTCAAAATCTTTAAGAAATAAATTTCATTTTCTTATAAATTACCCAGATTCAGGTATTCTGCTATCAGTGAAAGAAAACTGACTAATACACATCCCAAAGGCTCTCCTTGGTTACAAATCTAGAGAGTCTGGAGGGTGAGTTGCAGACCCTCCATGGAATATCATTCATTTGAGGAAATAATACTCAATCTTGCTTTGAACTGAAATCTCACAGAAGTTTTTGTACAGACATGTTTGTAATTCTCTTGGGTACGTACTTAGGAGTGGAATTACTGGGTCATATGATAACTCTATGTTTAATTTTTTGAGAAGCTGCCAAACTGTTTTCCAATGGGACTGCACTATTTTATGTTCCCACCAGCAATGTATGACACTTCCAATTTCTCTACATTCTCACTTATACTTATTATTGTCTACCTTTTGTATTATGGCCATCCTAGTGGGTATGAAATGATTTTAATTTGCCTTTGCTTAATCACTAATTATGTTGGTCATCTTTTCATGTGCTTATTGACCATTTTAATATTTTTTGGACAAACGTCTATTCAAGGGGGTAAACTCTTGAACTTGTAGCACTTCTGGCAGCCTTAGAGGTTGTATTAGTCAATTTCTGTTGATTATAACAGAAATACCTGAAACAAGATGAACTGTAAGAAAGTGAAATTTATTGCTTACAGTTTCAGCAGCTGCAAAGTCCAAAGTCCAAGCAACACATCTGGTGAAAGGCTTGGTGGTGCCAGTACCACAGGGATCTCTCATGGCAGAAGATGGTGGAGAAGAGAGAGGGATAGTTCCTCATGCATTCTCCTTTTAAAGCCCTCAGAAAATGCCCATGACCACCATTTTTAATCCATTCACTAGGCATGGTCCGACAATCTAATCACCTCTTCAAGGCCCCACCTTCAATTACTATAACCATATTTCCTGCACTCAACAGTTACAGTGGGGGATTAAGTTTTGAGGGGATATGCAACCCAAGGCAAAGGTAGTAGCTTCCTTGAGATGTCAATTCCACCCTGTTCTGGAAGTTATTCCCATAGACACTGCTTTACACCAACTCCTTCAGCCCTTCAAACAATTTTTTTTTTTTTTTAAAAGATGACCGGTAAGGGGATCTTAACCCTTGACTTGGTGTTGTCAGCACCACACTCAGCCAGTGAGCAAACCGGCCATCCCTATATAGGGACCCGAACCCGTGGCCTTGGTGTTATCAGCACCGCACTCTCCCGAGTGAGCCACGGGCTGGCCCTCAAACAATTTTGTAACTACCCAATTTTCTGCATTCAACTCTTTCCCATATAAAATATCTAGGGTGATTTATTTTCTACACTGAACTCTGACTGATAGAGCCACTGAAAAATATTACTCAGAGGATATTTACTTTGTGTTTTGGATTTTACGGCTGTGCTCTGGATATTTGAGAATGTTGAACAAATTATCTTTTGTTATGAATACTATTAGTTGTACATACATATATTTGTTTTCTATGAGTATGGTAACAAATTACCACAAACTTAGCAGCTTAAACAATGCAAATTTATTATCTTAAAAGTTCTGTAGGTCAGAAGTCCAACACAGGTCTCACAGGGCTAAACTCAAGGTGTTGACAGGTCTGTGTTTCTTTCTGGATGCTGTAGGGGAAGATCCATTTCTGTGCTCATTTGGGTTGTTAACAGAATTCCTTTCCTTGAGGTTGTAGGATTGAGATCCCTGTTTCCTTGGTAGTTGTTAGCTGAGTTGTCACTACAAGTCCCATCTTCTAGTAGCCAATTTCTTGGCTTTTGTCCCCCCACCCATCATCTTCAGAGCCAGGTTGAACCGCTTTCGTGCTTCAGATATTTACTCCTTCTTCTGTCTCATCTCTCTGACCTACTCAACTGCTTTCCCATTCCACTACTAAAGATTCTTGTGATTATGCTGGGCCCACCCTGACAACCCAGGATAATCTCTCCATCTCAGGGTCCTTAATCTTTATCACATCTGCAAAATCCCTTTTGCCACATAAGGTATGTATTCATAGGTTCCAGAATTACAGTGAGGACATTTGAATGGGAGGGAAGTGGGGAATATTTTCTATCTATCTGATCTTCATATTTAAAAAATTCCAACTCAGAAGTCTTTTTGGCAGCTGGCGGGTAAGGGGATCCAAAACCTTGACCTTGGTGTTATCAACACTGCACTCTAACCAACTGAGCGAACAAGTCAGGCCCAGAAGTCATTTGACATTAAAACTTTCATGTCAGTTTATTACCACATTCAGATACAGCTAATTAATTTTTCAAAGTACTTCAAACATCTCATAGCTACTAATTATTATTAATAGTAATTATAACCATGATCTGAAGGCACAAAGTACAGATATTTTATGACACACAAGCCTCAGGTCACAAAAGCCAATAAATAGTCCAAGTTTCTGCCACTTTTTCTAGCACTGAGCATAGCTGAGTAATAATATCTTCTATTTAAATAGCACTTTATAGTTTTACAAGTCCTCTTGCATCCATTACCTCATTTATAATGTCCCTGGGAGGCACACAAAATTGAGCAAGTCTATTATTCCCTTTTTACAGACGAGAAAATGGAACTTCTAGAAAGACTAAATAACTTACCCAAGTATGGGAAGTTTAAACATTTCTTTCAGTTGAAGTGAGAGTTAAACAACGGGCATACAGGGAATAAATGGACAAATGGAAAATATGTAGAAAATGAGCAGGTCACAATCTTCAGAGGGAAAATTTGACAGAATATTTTTAGTCATGACACAAAAACAACAAATAGAATTCACGGATTTGATTTGAAACAGTGTAAATGTTAAGGGTCCTTTTGAAAAGAACCCAAAATTAAGCACTTGTTCTTCAGGGTTTTCCACATAATGAAGCTATATTACCTAGCTCTTTCCTCTAAAATGTACATAAAAAGATACACATACAGACAAAAGAGGCACTAAAGACACTTTGTATGTAAGATCTTGTACCTTTTAGTAGGTTATAATTCCAAGGAATAGGGGAGTATAGGGACAAGTACACAAAGGCATGAAAAAACAAATTTAAACAAAGTATATAGAGCCAGCACCTATCACCATCTTACTGATAATAATCATAAACAAAAAGGCAGTCCTTTGCCCTTTTAGATTTTATTCTAATTCACCAAAGATACTGCAAGTTTTATAATCTGACCTATCACCATCTTACTGATAATAATCATAAACAAAAAGGCAGTCCTTTGCCCTTTTAGATTGTATTCTAATTCACCAAAGATACTGCAAGTTTTATAATCTGTGATTCCATGATTTTTTCCAATTCAGCCCCTCCCAAGGCAATCATACAAAAATGAGAAAAGGACTCTATTTATCTGCATCTACCCAACTATCTTCCTCCTTTACCTTCCAGCTCCAGTTAGGGAGACAGGATGGTCAATCAGGTACTTGAATTTATTCCTTCGTGTAGGGTGATGCCAGACATGGTCTACAGGGCGTGGAAGAGTACCCTAGGAAAAAGCAAAAACGCATCAATACCCAGCAGGGGGCGCTCCGATCAAATGAAATCTATTCTTACTAGTTTTGAGTACAAGAGGGATCTTCAAAAAGTTCACTGAAAGATTCACATTATTTTCTAATTCCATATTTCCACAAATTTTTTGAAGTACCCTTGTATTTACATTAACAGCATATGGATGCTCTAGAATAAAGAGCTGAATACCTTTTCAATAACATTAAGAAAGACTGAAACTAGAACAATCTACAGTGAATGAAAAATATTAAGACTAAGAGTAGTAATGATCATTTTGGTAAATCTATATAAAAACAGGTTAATGGAAATATTCAAGCTTTGAAACATTCACGCAAAAGATTCGAGCTTTCAATCTAGGAAATTACTTTTAAAAATTGTTCCCTTCTACACTATAAATCCCTCAATTTGATGCAATTATTCTTACCTGGTGCGCTCACTGGCTGAGCGTGGTGCTGACAACACCAGGCCAAGGGTTGAGATCCCCTTACCGGTCATCTTTAAAAAAAAAAAAAATTGTTTTAAGACTATCTGGAATATATAACATATACTCAATAAATACTTAATGAACTTGATTACCAGAAAATAATGTTCCAAGTACTCTACATGTTTATACGCACCTTTGGAGTTTTAATTTTCTTAGGAGGCAGTAAGTTTTCAGGACAAGGACCAGCATTGGCTGCATAGGTCAAAGAAAGAAGAACTTCCTCAGGTATGAACTCATTCTGAAGGGAAGTAGGAAGGGGTTTTGAACGATCCACCATATTTTTTTTCTCCCTTAGCTCAGGAAGTCCTAAGAAAGTAATGGGAAAGAAAACTCTTACTGTAGTTTTTTTGGAGAGTTAGACGGAGCTTCCTATACTGCCTCATAAGTCCCACGTATGTGTTTCTAACAGAGAAAAACATTGCTTCCAGTTGACAAGAATAGTTAACAACTAGTATTTAAAACATCATCTAGTCAAGGGAAATATACTCATATAGACTGCCCTACTCATATTACATCAGACACAGGTTCAAAAATTCAGGTTCAAAGATGAACCTGCATTATTCCAAACTGAAAGGTGAAAATTAAACTCAACTCACATACTGCATTAACTGTGATAACCTTAAGATGATGGGAATGAACGCCTATTTACCCTTTCATGTGAAAATGACAGGAGAAATCTATTCCCCAAAACTGTCAAATTACTTACTCATTTTTTGTTATATAAATTTAAAGGTAAGAATAATTGCATCAAATTGAGGGATTTATAGTGTAGAAGGGATCTCAGTTGGGTTTAAAAGTAAAAATAGAACTGGAATTGTTGGAAATAAAGAGTGGAACTGTTGGGCTAGGGCTCACAGACCCTTTACACCCATTGTAGAGGCTGGGTCACAGACCCTTCAAACCTATTGTGCACAGACTGGGTCATAGACCCCTCAAACCTGTTCTGTGCAGGCTGGGTCACAGACCCCTCATACGCAGGTTGTGAACTAGGTAATTGAAAAGATCCTGGGAGCCGCTGGCATGGTTGACATGCTTCATTTGGATGCAAGCTCAGCCCCCACCCCAGTAGCAGCTGCTTATAGCAGGTCCAGCAGTGGCCTGGTGGCCTGATGTGGGGTGGGGGGAAAGGAGACGTCCTGGGGGCACTGTGAACCAGAGCCGTCGGTCCTTTATACTTAAGTCAGATAGTCGAGGGACACCTGGGTGCAAGTAGATAACCAAGCAACACCTGGGCACACATGAGCAATTACATCAGACAATAACCAAGGAACACTGGGTGCACATGTGCAATTAACATATTTACATTAAACAGGCTAGGTCATGCTCGGCAAGATTCCCAACATCTGAGGGAGCCTGAACATTTGTCCATTTTCCTTACAGGAACAATCTGAGCAAATCAGAGGAATAAGAACAGTAAACAGCTTTCCACTTGACTAGGGCAGAGAAGTTATAAAAATGGGTAGTAGGGCTAATGTAGGAAAAGGTCCCCTATGAAGTTAGGTAGAGTTGGGTTGGCACTGTTCTTAATCTATGCCCCTCACATAGTATGGTTTACATTTTCTGTAAGGAGGCAACATGGTTCGATCACCATCAAAACTTCTAAGGTTTACATTACCAATTCTCAAGAGACAGCTTGAGATGGAATCAAAATATCAGAAGAAATAGAAGGAAAAAAAAGGTTGGATGGGGCTTTGGCAAAATCTCCTTAAATTCTAGTACAGATCTGCATTTTTCTGTACATGAATTAAAATCCTAAGGAATTACTCTCATTCAGAAAAATTACTACAACCTGATGCAAATTAATATGTTGTGCTAAATTGCATGTGTTTCTTACCTTCACTATTATTTTTTTTAAGTTTCTTAAAGCCATAGACCAGGTAGCAAAAAAAACTTTCATACAACTATTGGTATCTAAAATACGGTGGACTTAAAATAATATAAAACTCATTGGCATTTGAAATAAAATTATAAACACAGTCTTTAGGTGGAGCAGTGAAACAGGACCCTGATTCAAACATACTGTAAGAGGAATGGCTTTTGGTTTTATTTAAACAAGTGTGTTAGAAAAGCGTAGCTAATTATGGTATTAAGAAAAACGGTGAATGCACCGTGACTTCTGTCTATGGCCATGATTGTTTATTTCTGCAGAATCCTTTAAGTTTACCTCTTGTCTCTTCCTTGGCTACAGACACTTTTAACTTTTTGCCCTCAGATGTTGGCGCGGAGTTTAGCGGTGTGGAGGACGTTTTCGGAAGAGACATAATAAACAATGTCTCCTATCTCTTTAGTAATTTGAAGTATTCCTTCGGAAAGCTAACTTAGAACCAAATCAGCACCGTAGTGGGACTTGTAGGCTGCCACATTGTCCTAAGGCCAAAAAACGAGACCCGTTAAGTGCTTATGTTCAGATCGGAGATTCGAATTCCTCTGACATGGTTTGCCCGCTTTGCAGGGAGACCTCCTGTGTTCTCTCAGGTCGTCTGACGTGACTAAGAAACCTGTGGGTGCGTCAGGGTCAGGGCGCAGGCCGTGAGGACTCGCTCGGCCCACCACATTCCGCGGGCACCCCTGGCCTCGGGTCCCCTGCCTCCCCCACAGGCAGCACCCTCGCACACGCAAGCTCTACGGACTAGGGCTGGACAGGGCTCGCACCGTTTCAGTAAAAGTGACGGGAAACGGACACCTGCAACCGGTCCTCGCAAACTGTTTCCCGCCAGGCGTCTGAGCAGTCCTTTTCTCCGCCCGCCAGTGCGTCGTCATAGAAACCCAGGACCCCGAGTCCCGGCAACCCTCAACAGGGGCTGCCTTCGGCGGTGCCTTCGGCGGAGAAGGCGGACAGCTACGAAACGATCCCTACACTCTGCGTTTCGATGTGTTTTAAGTCACAGCATACGTTCGTAGCAATAGAGAAAAGCGTCCAGTCGGGCCGCAGTGCCGCGATCCGAGAGCGCCTCGATCGCGGGGCTTCCGGCTGCGGGCCGGGCTCTGCCCGGGACGAGCTCCGTGGGCAAGGCGCCGCCGCTAGGAGCAAGGGTCTGTAAATCGTTGCCATCTCTCTAGGCTCCCCACCTCCCGCCCCCCGCCCCCTTTTTTTTCCCGCTTATGTTTCTAAAAGCTAAACTCAGGGGGAAATGGGTACTCACGGTTTTTGATTACCTCATCAGGTGAGGCTTTATTGCTGCCCGTTTCTTGGCATTTCGATTACGACTTCTTAGACACAAGGAAGGCAATCCTGGGTACACGTTGTGTTTTTTGTTTGTTTTGGTTTTTCCTGGAGGCAGGAAAGAAGGGTTGCACTTTAGGCGGAGCCATCCCACGTAAAATCAATGGGTCTTCTCGCTCGAAAACCTGCTCTCAGGAAAGAAGGCGACCAGCTCGTTCACACCGAGCTGAGCCCCGCTCGTATCTGCTGCCAGAGATCATTTCGTATTAATGCAGACATTTAATGCCAAATGAATGCCGGTGGAATCTCAGAATCTAGATTAGATGCCTTCACTCGGGAAAATAAATTTCAAAAGGTAAGAAGTCTTATTCAGTCGTCATCTTCTCAGTAACAAGTACAGTGGCTAGACAAACGCCTTCAGTATGACGTTTGACAATCAGGTAGTACTGTTGTGTTGACAGAATTAAGGCTCTGGATTCTGGTTTCCAGGGTAATAGCAAAGAGAAATATGGGCAAAGGGTTCAAAATAAAAAGTGTATGGTCTCTTTTAACTCTTCTAGTGAAACATCTTGGGTGTCTGAGAAAGCCAGTGTAATCACCAAACATGCCCTGAACTGGGGTAAAAAAAACAGTGGGTGTGCTTTTGCACCAGATCTCTTACCAACTCATTTTCTGAGTGTGTGGGCAGGATTATACACATATTTGCAGGCACTTAAATAGAGCATACAAAGGCTCCCTGAAGGAGTCTGAATGGGAAGTAGACCAGTATTTGTATCTAATATAGCTAAAAAATGAAGGTATCAATTAAAAACTTTTAAAAAGAGACACTGAGGGGGATATCTAGGCACTGCTCAGCCAAACACTTCCCAGTGGAAAGAGTAACTAGTATTGCTTCTACACAAGAACGGCATCCCTAAAACTGAAATGGTGCCTCAGATTGTCTGTTTTATGTCATTCAGTTTAGCACTGGTGTGCCTATAGGAAGAAGTATGCTTTTGCCTTGTTCACATGTGTATCTTCAGTGTACCTGGCACATGACGATGATGCAGTCTGATAATAAATTCATCTTTCTCATCATACAATAAGCTGGGCTCCTAAAGAGCACATTCAGTGATTAGGCCAATCTTGAGTATGACACTCCACGAATGATTGATTTCTCATGGTAACTTTACAAACTACTATACTAGTTTTATAAATCAGATGCATGAACGTGGTTGAGTCCAAGTGCAAGCTATCTGAGCCTAAAAAGGACTGGACCTTAAACTTTCATAAATTCATCAAGAAAAATTGCCACACTATGGCTTTGCCCATAGTGGGCTCGGTCTAAGAAACAGTTTTATAAATCAGATGCATGAACGTGGTTGAGTCCAAGTGCAAGCTATCTGAGCCTAAAAAGAACTGGACCTTAAACTTTCATAAATTCATCAAGAAAAATTGCCACACTATGGCTTTGCCCATAGTGGGCTCGGTCTAAGAAACAGGGACATTTAATTTCTGAAGGGACTTCCCCCTTCCCACTCCTCTTGCACTACAGAGACAGGTGGGCATAGCTAAGCCATCAAGGTAACTACGTAGTACTTCTTGACTTGCTGATGTGTGCTTCTATACAGCATTGCGACATCAAGTACTAATCATAATACTTTCCTGTTATGAGTAGATTTCTTGGAGAAAGCTGTCTTTGTCCATTTGTGGTGCTATAACAGAATACCTTAGACTGGGTAATTTAGAAAGAAATTTATCTCTCAACAGTTCTGGAGGCTGGGAAGTCCAAGGTCAAGGTGCCAGAATGTTCGTTGTGTGTTGAGGGGAGAAAGGCTGTGTCCTCACATGGCAGGAGGAAGGGCAGGAGAGCCAATGGCTGCATGAAGCCTCTTTTATAAGAATCAATCCCATTCATGAGGAAGGAGTCTTCATGGCCTAATCACCTCTTAAAAGCCCCACCTCAATACTACTACACTGGCAATGCCTGCATTTTGGAGGGAATACATTCAAACCGTAGCAGAGGGGAAGCAATCTGTCTTGCTTCAATACTGATTTCCCCCAGTCTTATCTTAAAAGGCATACTTCCTGGTCCAACATATTTTCACCTTTCACTAGAAACCTGAAGTCCATTTCTACCTATTGGAGGCAGGGAGTGGCACTGTATTAGAAAGACTCATTCACAGGTTTTAAATAGACAAGAGAAAAAGAATTAAGCAACAAATAATGTCCACAATAGAAGAGGCTGAAGAGTCAGTGTTACCACTTTTCTGGATACAAGTTCAAAGTCACAATTGGGTCCCACTATTTATTACTTTGTAATCTGTAACATGGCTCCCCACATTAACCTGGACAAGAAAGTCCTGTTCAGTTATGTGCCTTCTCTTTTGGCTATATTCAGCATATAAAGCTGCCTGATATTAAGAGGAAAAGCATTTATGAATATAAAATACAAGTATAGAGTTAATACTGAATACACTTGAAATTACTTTTAAGACAGAAACTAGGCTTTTTCCAAATATATTTATTTACCACATTCTTCACATATGCACTATTGTGCCTTTTTTGTGTGTATGCATATTTTTTCTTGAGTTAAAAAATGTTTTAGTTAATGCTAATACAATGCACATTAAAGGAAGTCATGGTACCAGTGATTAGACAAACCAGGATTTGCAGTGGGAGGAGAAAACAGAAATTCAGGAAAACAGCAAACAAGAATAAATTAGAAAAGACACCTTTAATTATAGAAAACCTTAAAAAACAACTTCACATTTACATGACACTTCTGCTTTCAGAACACTATGTATTAACACACAAGCTGGAAAGGCGTAGACACAGGAAGCTGCTGCATTGGCCCAAATGACAGAGCCTTGACTGAGGCTTAGCTCTCTTCCCACCCAAGAAGTAGCACATTTGCAAATGGGAATTCAAACTGTATCTCTAAATGACTGAGGGCATGACTGGGCACATGAGTTGCCTGTTTCAAAGGTATTTAAAACAAAGTACAGCGCCCATCTCATTAAGACAACACCCCAAAGCATGGTGCAGTATCTAGTGGCTTAAAGTTTAGCACTCTGTTGAGAACGGCATATTGACAGCAGAAATGTGAATGCAATAATGCAGAAATAAGGAAGAGAACACTTAGAAAAAAGGACACCGGCAGTTTTAGATTTTTTAAACTGTCACTTCTGAAATTAACCCATTCTTTTCCTGAACTCTAAATTAGCTATTAACGTCTTTTATTTGACAAAAACAAAAAAGGTCGGGGGGACTTTATTAAGGATTTAGTAGACTGTATAGATTACACAGCTTTCCCACTAACCTAATCAACTTTATTATTGTTATTGTCTACTGATTTTCAAACTGGTCATCAAGTTTAGGGTAGGGAAGAAGGGTTCCCCTCCCTCTTCCTAAACAGCTTTCTCTTTAAACAGCTTATATGTAACATTTTATTTCAACAAAGGGTTTCAACACTCTATTACCTGATAGAAACTTGAGTGATGTCAAAAACTACTCAAATACTTACATAAGCTTCACTAATAATATTTGTTTTATTCTTCAAAATATTTATGTCCCAGTTCCTTCCATTTTGGAGCCATAACCATAAAGCCTAGAGATAAGACAAATGAAACAATGTCCAAGACAGATCTTTGATTGTGTGTGTGTGTGTGTATACACACACAAGGGCACTTCAAAAAGTTTGTGGGAGGGCCAGC